TACTGTATAGACTTCCTATTAAAAATGTTTGAATCATTAGAAACAGGATATTAATATGAATAAATAAATGTTTTCAAGTAGAAACCTAAATAAATTCTTTTTTTTTTTTGTTAAAAAATTTAATATAATAATAATAATAATAATAATAATAATAATAATAATAATAAAATAATTTCAAAAGTTTTCGGTATATTCGATTTGTATGAAAATCAACGAATTATTGCAAATTTTGAAACAATAGTGTATGCGTACACATACATATATACTTGAATTATGTTTGTAATAGATCTGTTCTTTTTTTTTGTTATTAATCATAGTATTTTTCTAGTTTCTTTGTATAGTTTAATAATGTATACGAGCCTAAATGAATACTAGATATAATAATGGTGAAATTATTATAAAACTATGTGAATCGCGTGATTCCTTCATGCGAAAATCCTTCAGTTTTTTTTTTTTTCTTCTATTTTTTATAATACTTACAATTAGCGAAAGTTAATTTTACGTATTTACATATTTAAACTATTTATCTCTATGTTGTTTTCTTGATTTATAATAAAAAAGCATACACACACACACATATATAGAAAAAAAAGAAGAAGAAGAAGACGTTTTACAATTAATCACATTTATTATATCAACTGACATGGATAATAATTTTATGAGAGAAATTGTTACTTAATATAAATTATTAATTTCATCTACAACAAGAAGAAATATAATTATATTTTTTATTGTAATTTTATTAATTTTATTTTTGTTTTTTTTTTAATTTTTGTATTAAATTATTGTTTAATTTTTGTATTTTAATATTTTTCAATTTTATTCTAATTTATTTGAATCAATCAGCAAAGGTAGTTTGTTAGTAGGTTGTAGTTAAACAATTAATAAAAATATATTTTAATAATTAAACAAGTATAAATTAAAATATATTTTAATAATGACTTAAACAAAAATTTCTAATCTATATAACATAATCAATATTATTTATATTCTAATAATTATTATTATATTTTTTATTTTAATTTTAATTTACTGCAATCGATCACAAAAGGTAGTTTGCTAGTAGGTAGTAGTTAAAAAAATAAATAAAAATATATTTTATATATTAATTATTTAAACAAAAATTTCTTATCTATATAATACAATTAACATTATTACTATTATTATTATTATTATTATTATTGTATTTTTAATTTTAATTTCAATTTATTGCAATCGATTAGAAAATTTAATTTGCTTTTACCTAAATCGATCATAAAAGGTAGTTTCGCTACTCCAAATGATTTTTAAACTTCTTCATAATATTTATGATAAATTGATAATGATAAAAAAAAAAAAAGATAAAGAGAAAAATAGAAAGAAAAAAAAAAAAAAACCAACACAACAACAACAAAAAAGAAAGGAAGTAAAATGGGTCTCTTAAATCGTCTTAAATCGAGCCAACTGACGAGCGTCAGCCGGAGTTAATTGGAAACGAAATGAAACGAAACTAAACGGCAATGGCCAACAAACACCACCACCACTACCATTACCATCATCATCATCATCACAAATGTATATAAACGAAAACGTCGCGACACGTAGGAATTGACATAAGTGATGATAATTTGAAAAGAAGTCCGGGAGTGCGTCGTACATCGAACTTTACTACTACTACTAATACTACTACTACATTATCTCTAGCAATTTATTCGTTTCGTTTCGTTTCGTTACATTTCGTTTCGTTTCGTTTCGTTTCGTTTCGTTCATTCGTCGTCATTCTCTTTCTTTATTCTTCCAAAATGATCTCTCTGCGTGCTCCCTATACGTTTCAAAGGCATTCTTTTGCGAATCATCGAGCGTAAAGTATTTTCCTCTTTCTTTCTTTCTCTCTCTCTCTCTCTCTCTCTCTCACACACACATTCTCACACATCATACACATGAAGATATACAAGTGGGTGATACGTGTATGGGTATAAATAGGTTTCATGATGATATATAACTCTTTTTATTCACGCATGTGTTAATCTATTAAAAGAAAATAAGGAAAGTTTTCGTTGAATTCAATCTTTTATATTTTTTTTTCTTTTCATTATTTAAAAGAAAGTTAAAAGTTAATTAAAAAAAAAAAATCCAAAATTTAGGATAACATTTCTATTTTTGTTTTTTTTTTTGTTTCAATTATTCTACTTTGATTTTTGAGTATGTATTATTACAGTTTTTGATATAACTTTATTTAGGGAAAGATGAAAGTTTGATTTAAATATGTGTTTGTAATAATTTCTTTTTTTTTTTTTTTTTTTTTTTTAATTTAATTTTCGATGATTTGAATTTTTTTACTTTAATTTTATTTTATTTCGATTTTCTTTTCTTTTTTATTTTAATTTTTTTTTCTTGTTTTTTTTTTTTTTCGTTGGTCAATTGAGCTAGGATTAAAGTAAAATTTTTGAATACGTGTTTGCAATTATTTTTTGATTTCTTATTTGACTTTTGAATTATATATTATTTTCAATTTATATTTTTATTTGAATTTAATTAAATTTTAAATTTCGTTTCCTTTTATTTTCAAACTTTTTTTTAATTTTTAGTTGTTCAATTGATCTAGGATGAGCCATATTGATTAAAAAAAAAAAAAAACAATGGCACCTTACTACGTAATCAAAAAAAATAAGAGTCAAATAATTATTAATAATAATTTGTTATATTTTATTATTCTATCGACATACTTCAATATTTGTTCCAATTATTATTTATAATACATGAGAAATAATTTCTTTCACATGTTATAAATGTCTAATCAAATTATTACTTTTTAGGTTAGAATATATTCACAATACATGTTACAATATCTGAAATTACAAATACACACACACACATCCTAGAAAAGAGAGGGGAAAAAAAAGTTCTCCTCGATTCAAACGTGACTTTATCCAGGACACCTTATATGAGAGATAAACGCTTTGCAATTATCTTAGAAAATAACATTCTCAAGATGATATTACTAACACATTATTATACTCAACTAACACTCTCAACTATAAATTAGAATCAATTAAATATCGCATTAACAAATGATAAAATAAATAAAATACAACATATGTCATTTATACGGTGATACTCTAATTAATACACGCAATATCATTAAACACACTTTATCATGATTGACGACGTATATACTCGTCGTTAGAAAATAAAACATTTTTTCTGTTTTTTTTTTGTTTTTTTTTTTTAAAGAAGGTCATCACACAACTAAATTGTTTAATTTACTTAAAAAAAAAAAAACAAAACAAATCGGTCGTTTAGTTAAAAATAGTTTATGCAAATTGAAACCAAAATTACTTAAATAGTACCATAGTTTCGTAAATGTTAATAACAATTAGTAAGCAAAAAGAAAAATATAAAGAAATAAAATAGGCATAAACGTTTTAATTTCGTGACATTAAATTTGGTTAAAAAAAAAAATAATAATAATAATATAAAAATTATCCAATAATAATAAATTTATCTTATTATTTTAATAAATAATATAAATTATATAGAATTATAATATATTATTATAATATAAACTACGTATAACATTAAATTTGGTAAAAAAAAAAAAAAATAAGCCAGTAAAACAAAAATTTTCAAATAATAATAACAATAATAAATTTCTTATTCAAATATAATTCAAAGAACGTCTCCTCGACCAATAGAATGAATTGCGAGCATAGCATAAATTCTTATTTCCAAGCGAACCAGCAGGCAACCAACCAAGCAACCAAGCAACCAAGCTCGATTGAGGAGAATGTAAAATAAAAAAAAAAAAATAAAAAAATAAATAAAAAAGGGCACTTTCGCGCTGAGTGAGTCACATCCTAACCTCGAAATCCTTCTCCTTCTTCTCTTCCTTCTTCTTCTCTTCCTTCTTTCCATGGTGATAAAAAGAAAAAGAATATTTTGAAGTTTCGAATATGGTGGCCGATGATGATGGTGTTGGTATTTGAACATCGGGTTACCTGAAAACGTCACTTTGCTTTTTTCTTTTTCTACCTCTTTCTACTTTTTTTTTTTTTTTTTTTTTATTTTCTTTTTTTATTATCGTTACCTTCGAAATTATCATTCGTGCTCGATAAAGACGTTCTCGTTCGAAATAATTTTTTGACCTTATTGGCTTATCCTTTCACGATACTATCGTTAACGGTTTTATGTAAATTATAAACTTACATTTTTTTTTTTTTTTTTTAACATGTATATATTAGTTTAACAAAGTGATAATTTTACAACAAATATTATGAAAGTTCAAATTTATCGTTTGTTCAAAAACTTTGATTTCATTTTCAAATAATGTGTCTATTTTTTTAGGTTATGTAAATAAAAAAAATAAAAAATAGTAAAAGTATAAGATTTATGGATAAAATTTATAATTATTTTTAATTATATTAAAATTACATTTAATATAAAATAAAAAGTAAAATTCCTGAGCTCAGGGACAAGAACAATGGCAGGATTTGGTATTTGCGCCAATGAACTTTCGAGTTCCTAATGCTAACAAATAATAATAATAATAGTAATAATAAATTTAAATAAATAATAATAAAATATAAATTATATAGTTTAATATAAAAAATTATATTAAAATTATAAACAATATATAAATATATAAATAATATATTTAAAAATTAATATATTAAATGTAAATTAATTAAAAAATTATATTATTTAACTATTAAAAAATATTGCATTAAAAAATACAATATATATATATAATATAAAACAATACGTTGAACAGATACATAAAACAATAACTACATAATATTAATAACATATTCGCTAACTTTTAACGTTAATATAATTATAACAAAACGAAACAAAATATATTGTTGTTATGTTATTTTTGAATATGCGTATTGAATTAATAAAATTAAATAAAATTACAAATAAAATGAATAATATTTGATTGTCTCGGGGGGGCTAATAAAAACAACAATAATAAGAAAAAGAAAATTGTAATAAAATATTATTCGTAATGGTATTCGCAGATGGATTCGCCGGAGCGTGAAATCTATCGTGATCCTGATGTTGTAAGGGCCGACGATAGGGTAGACGAAGTGGTACACACAGACACAGCTAGAAAGATGCTCTCAATCTTCCGGCAAATGGAAGAGAATGCGTGCAAAGAGGAATTGCCTGAGGGACCGAAACCTTTGAAACGTTTCACGCCACCACCAGAGGACAAGTTTGCGAAACAAACCGCCTCCGATTCTGAGGAAGAAGAAGAAGAGGAAGGTGAGGAATCCGAAGCTGACGAAAGTGCCGAAGAAAGAGATCCGAATTATGTCAGAGCCTCTGATAAGGTTAGTTTTACCTTTCTTTTATTATTATTTTACCTTTTATATATATATAATTTTTATTTAATTAAAAAATATAATTTATTTAATTATAAATAATATATATTCGATGTTTAACAAAGTTACCTACAGTCGGTAATATTAATATAAAATTATTTATAATATGAAATTGCAAATTTATCTTTTATTTATATATGTAATATTAAATATAAAATATATTGAATATATACACATATATAATTTTTATTTATTTAAAATATAATATATATATATAATATATATATTAAATTATTCTATGTGTATATATAAATATATTAAATAAATCCTATTTAATTTATATTTATACATATGCATATATATTCAATGTTTAATAAAGTTACCTACAGTCGGTAATATTGATACAAAATTTTAAGTTCAAACAAACATAATTTTATTAATGCTAATCTTTAGGAAAAGAGAAACAATGAAAATAATTACTTTAATTAGATTTTATTTTGATCTGACAGGTAGAAGATGAATTTTTAAAACAAGCACAGAATGCCGCGCGCGCCAAAACATTGCGCGCGAAATTCGAACACTGGGAAGAGACGGATGGTAAACCGAGTAATCATAACATCGCCGAAATGGAAATTGCTCAAAGTACAGGTGATCAATCGAGCATAGAATCTGCTAGCAGTCTCAGAGCTCGTTTTGAATCACTCGGATCACAGACCAATGAGTCTCCACGTGCGCCAAAAATTAAAGTTAACCGATTTGTGGTGAGTACAGTTTAAACAAAAAATATTATCTTCTTCATTTATTCTCCTTCTTTTTTTTTTTTTTTTGGTTATTAATCATTGAACAATATTATACAAAAATTATTTGACAACGAAAATTCAAATATTTGTATATTTCTTTTTCATTTCAATTTTGTTTATAATTTTTATTTATTTTTTATTTTTTATTTAGTCATAATTATTGATCGTTGTCAATCATTTTTATTTTTCTTTTTTTTTGAATTAAAATTTTTTTCATTATTATTATATCTTACATTTATTGATAAATAGAACTTATATTAGTATGAAAATAAATATTAAAAAAAAAATGTTTTTTTTTTTTTATATGCATGGTGTGTTTCGAAGTTCGATGTTGTATCCGCTTAATTAATTTATCCACAAATTCTCTCGTGTGTTTTTCCAAATGCACGTATTACCCGTTTCATTCCTTTAATCTAATAATCGTGTTTCTATTATACATAGATCTAAAAACTTCTATTTTTTATTTTGACGTAGCAATTTTATCTTTTTTTTGTTTTTTTTTTTTTTTGTTTTAACGAAAGATTTTATTTTTGTGCAAATCTTTCATAATTTTTTCTAAATCCAACGAGAGTTAAACTTTGACTGTTTGGCCCGCAAAATTGATTTTATTTACAAACAACATATTATATTGACTTTTTTTTTTATAATAATGTGTAGACAAATTAGTATTTTTTTTTTTTTTTGCACAAATAACTGTGAATGATGATAAATATTTACGATTTTTATTCTACAGCGAATGTTAATCACAAAAACAAACATAACCTAATTTGCGTATGTGTGTGCCATTATTTTTTGTGATATTTTTATTTATTATAAATTTGAAGAAAAAAAAAAACAGAAAAAGAGAGAGAAAGATAGATAGATAGATAATAATTATATATGAAAAAAAAATATATATATATATATATTTGCATAATATTTTTATTTGAATAAATCAATAAAAATAAATTTTTATTAATTTATTAGAAATTAATTAAAAAAAATTAATTTAAAAAATAAATCAAATAAATTTATTTATTATTTAAATAAATTATTTCTCTCTCTCTATTTGTATTTTACCACCCCCTTTTTTTTTAAGGTTAAGTCTTAATTTTGACAAAACAATATTATGCAATTATAAAATAACTAAAAGCAAAAATTGAAAAATTTTTTATATTCGTCAATTTGAGGATTTACTCGCCAGCTTTTTTATTTCTCGCATCTTTAAATAATTTTTAATAATGTTTCTTTTAATGATAATAATTAATATATTTGTTGATTTATGAGAAAAGATTAAACGGTGCGTAGATCCTCGAAAATATGATTTGTGCACGCTCATGTGAAATTCTTCTTGATTTTATTTAATTTGATTTTTTTTTCCTTTTTTTTTTTTTTGAATATGGGCTTTAATTAGAAAACGTAGACGTGTGAAATTAAACAAATGCATTTGATATATATATATATATTTTTTTTAAACTTATATAGCAAGCTTTGCGTATTTCTTACTACTTTTTGTTCTATTTTTTCATATAATATATTTTTATTCGATTTTTTTACAATAATTTGATTTTATTTTATTTCTCGTTTCTTTCTTAATACTGTCTTTCAATTCTAACGATTATTATGACATGTGTATTGCCTTTTATTTATATATTTATTTATTTAAAAATATATCATAAATATTTATAAATAATATTAAATACTTAGCAAGAGCATGATTTTGTATGATTTTCATTAGTTTCATGGCATTTATCGATCGAGATAGAATGAAATATATTTTTTCACAATTATTTATGTCAAATTATTAAATAAATTAAAACACTACAATATTTAAAAAATCAATTGACAAAATTTAAAAATGTATAATATAAGAAAAAGTAAATAAATTGATTTTTATTTCTTTGTCGATCGATGAACATGATAAATAATTTTTAAATAATAATAAAAAAAAAAGGGAATCATCATTGAACAAGATGATAAATGAAAAAATGTAACGACCAGCAGAAAGATTGTATCAGGAACGTAATTTTTTTTTTTTTTTGGAATGATGATGGAATGAAATTAACGTGATTGTGTAATCATCCCTTTTTTTCTTGACCAAAATCGCACACCTGCTGCTTATGCTGCGATTTACATATTACTTTATGGACACGCACGATTACGCAATAGAAAATTAAAATAAAATATATAATAATAATAATCCTTTGAGTTAGTATTAATTAGTCTCGGTTGAAACGTTATGTATATGAAAGATGTTGTATTATAAATTTTCGTTATTAAAATACATCTTTATATATATAATTCTTCTGTGCGTGTGTATGTCACTGAACTCCTCCTAAACGGCTGAACCGATTTTAATGAAACTTTTTGTGTGTCTTCAGGTGGATTTGAAAATGGTTTAGATTTACAATTCGGTCCAATTTAAATTGTTTATTTAAATAATTTTTTATTTATAAATTGTTATACGAAAAGTTTATACATTGAAGTTAGTTGATATTTTTTGTTGATATTATACTTTTCGATATATTCGATATATTTCTCTTATTGTTTTACATTGGATCCGGCAGACTGCGCTACGATCGTGAGCCGCAGCAACGCGTGGCGGGGCACACCTAGTATATATATATATATAACGTGTCTAGTTCATATTTGATAGTTTTTGCCAAATGTAGACAACTCAAAGGGTTAATATTATTACTATTATTATTATTATTTTATTTTTTATATAAATAACAATTAATATTAATAACAATTACGCGTGATCGTACTCTTATTAATTCTTTTTTCTTGAATGGCCGTGCAGTAAAACGAGAAGTTACACACACGAAGCCCTGCGACACACCCAACCGTATGAAAAAAAAAAAATGAATAAAAACAAACAAACAACGGAAGAAGATGATTTATGAAAGAAAAAAACAAAACGAAAATCAAATTATGAAGAAAAAAGAAATTAAAGAAAGAGAGAAAGAAAGAATACGAATGATAATCGTTGACGATCGTAAATTATTATTACAAAAAAAATTTATTAACGCGCTTTTCCTACAACAATAAAAAAATTAAAATATTCAAGTCAAAGAAGAATGAAGAAAATTTCATATTTTTTTTTTTTTTTTCTTTTAATTCTATCTTTTCTCTCTCTTTCTTTTTTTTCTTTTTTTTTTTTCATCTAATTTTTGTTGATTTCATTTGATTTTTCTTCGTCTTACCAAACGTGTTATTATATCTTTACTTACACATTAGTACGAGTAATCAAATAATCTTAGCGTTTAAATAAATTGCGTACGAATGGAAAAAATTAAAAAAAAAAAAAATATTAAGAAAAAAAAATCATAGGAAAGGAAAGGAAAGAAAAGAAAATTCTGATAAATCGAAAATACGTCGTTGTAAAGAAACATCGAGATAAAAAAAAAAAAAAAGAAAAAGACAATGAAGAAAGGAAATAAATTAAATAAAATAGAAGGATTTATAATTTTGGTTGCAATTTTGAGAAATGAAAATGAACGTTTAATAAAAATTTGCTTGTTGTCTTTTCAGTACGCATTAAAAAAACAAAAAATCGAAAAAAAAACGCGTGAAAATTAATAATTAATTTAATAATTAAAAAAAACCAAAATTGTGACTATTATTATTATTTCCTATTTAATATCATTTAAATGATAATATATATATATTATTTTTTTAAATTGGATATTTTTAGGGTTCATTAAAAAATGTTTCTTTTTTTTTTCCCCCATTCATTTGTGTCTTTTCAATTTTTAACGAAGTTAAATCGAAGGTGCATGGAAAACATATCGAACGCTCGACGTATAATTCCTGAATGTCAACGAAAAAAAAAAATTATAAAAAAAAAAACGAAAAAAAACTATCGTTCACGAAGCTTTCTCATCGAATTAATTTTTTTTTTTTTTTTTTTTTTTTGAATCACTTTGTGTGTAAACCGATTACTTTATAATCGCACAAATCTCTTGTACATTATAATACGTCTTAAAACTACATCGTTATTATTATTATTATTATATATCTATACATATAAATATATATAAATATTATTATTATTACTATTAATATTATATTAGAAATATTATTAATATTATTGTTATCGGACGAACATATGGGAGACCAGTGACCAATGTGAGGATTAGAAAGAAAAAAAATGAAATTTTAATCGAACATTTAACGAACACTCGTACAATAGTCCTTTCATTATTTTTTTTTTTTTTTTTTTTAATTAATCTTTGCATTTTACTGCTATTAATATATAATAATTATTTATTACAAAATTATTGTATAAGTTTTTCTTTAATTTTCAATTATAAATGGTCTCGTAAAATGCAATTTTTACAATAAAAAATTATGAAAAACAACAAATTTTTAAAACAAGTGCCAAATATAGAAATTATTTATAATTAATGTAACAATTATAAAAAAAAAAACTGCCAGAAATTTTTTAATAGGAAAAAATGTTTTCTAAATCCTCCCATTTGTACACTCGATTCTCATTTACTTAGTCATCATTTTAACCTTTTCTTTTCTCCGAACTTGAACGAACAAAAAAAAAAGTGCCAATAAGTGCAAATTAAATAATTATGGAGAGTAGAGTTAAGGAGAATCATCTCTCTATATGAAAAAGTGTCCGTCAAAATGCATTCAATTAGGGTGGCGCCACATTAGCATCAGGATAAATTTTAAAGAAAGCGCCAAATATTATTAGAGTAGGATTGAGAAATAAACAAGAAACACAAATTTCGCAACACAACAATTTACCCATAACTTTTTTTGTTATTCACTGGCTTTTTCATAAAATTAAATGATAAAAAATCAATAAACGTACTATTCACAGTTCACGAAATAAAATCACTCTAGCTAGCACGTTTTCTCATAATAATTCTTTAAGGTTATATTTACTACATTATTTTGTACTACGCAAGTTGTTGAAATTGTCAATAATTAACTACTTTAGTCGCCAATAATATTCAATTTTTTAACTCGGCATACTTCAATTCGTTTACAATTTCTACATTTATGCTATACCCTTTGTCTACACTAGCGCCATTCTGGAAGGTTTTTGAACTGTTATTTATAGCATACAGCTGGGACACTTTTTCACATTTTCTCCCATATTAGATGATACTCCTTACCTCTATCCTCCATATAAATAATTACGCCGTACAAAAGAAAAATCCAAATAATAATAATAATTATTATTATTATTATAACAACAATTTTCTTCCATAATAAAAAAAAAAAACAAACACAAAAGTTTGACGTTTTCACAGCTACGTTAAAAATGAAAAGAAAGTAAATTAACGAGACCATAAAGATAGGGGGTGACAGGATTTAAAAGAGGTTAGAATTCGCGGGCTTTTTGAAATGCTTTAAAAAAAAACCAAAAAAATTCGATACGTTTTACATTTAAAAAAAGAAGGCTTTTTTCGTAGCGAAGAAGAGAAAAAAAAATCGTAGCTTTGATATATATATATATATACATGTCAAATAAATATAATTATACATATATATAATATAAATATATTATATATATATATATATATATACTACATGCATAAGCATTGTCGTATTCGTGCCAGTCGATAAATATTCTCTCTCAAAACGTTATTTCGTCGTTTTTAAATATTATATTATATAAATAATAATAATAAACGAGCTTCCTTAATTCTTTGAATGGACTGATATAAAATGGCGTCTTGTCATTAAATCAATGAGAACATAAAAACGACGATTATAACGATAATTAAATACGACGTAAATGAACGCTTAAGATTTAAAAAAGAAAAAAAAACAAAAGAATGCATTCTTTTTTTTCTTTTGTTTTTTTTCTTTATTGAATAATTTCGTAATACAAAATACGTTTAAAAAGTAATCTCTTTATATTAGTTAGAACATAACCTTAATTTAATTCTATGTCGGCCTATGAGAAATGTGTCCAATCAACGAATCAAGCATTTTAATTATGTAGAAAGAAGAAAATAAAAGAGAAAGAGAGAGAGAGAGAGAAAAAAATATATATATACACACACGCACATAATGATATAATATATATTATAATATATTAAATACTACGTAATCTGCTCGCTGTACTTTTTAACTCGTATATCGATTCGAGCGAAATAAAATAAAATAAAATAAAATAAAATAAAGAAAGGAAGGAAGAAAAAGTGAGAGGGACTAAGTTTTTTCTCGAAGAAAAGAATAAAAAGAAAAGCAAAAAAAAAAAAAGGAAGAAGAAAAATGGCAACCTTCTAACTTCGCGTCAAAATGCACTTTTTATATTTTTTATAGGTCACATAGTGCAAAGAAGTAATTTTCGAATGATATGATGAAGAAAAAAAAAATGATCGGAGAACGTTCGATTAATGGCGTCCAATCAACAAAACCACCAAAGTATAATAATAATAATAATAATAGCAATAATAATTCTTTACTATTTACAAAAAATGCAATCGGTTCTTTCTGAATTCAAATTTGGCGCCTTTTTCTTCGAACGTTCTCTACAAACAATTACATTTACTGTATAAGAAATATTAGTAAAATTAAGGAGCGTTCGATGTAACACATTAATAAAACAAATTACATTTACATTCATACAAACATACACACACAAATACACATACACACAAACGCACGGAAGAAGATAAAAAAAGAAACAAAAGTATGTGCGTGTAATAAAAGTAGAAAGAAAAAGAGAAAGAGAGAGAGAGGAGAGAGTGGCAGGTGTTTACGCATAGTTTTTAGAAAAAGAAAATGGAAAAAATATCAAAAAAAAAAAAAAAAAAAAATTCCGACCTAGAGTATGTATGTATAATATATCTATATGAATAATTAATGAATTCATTGATATAAATTACAATTAAATTATTCCTTCGTGATCGTAGAAGATGGCGGA